AAAAACGCACATCATAATTGTAGTCTTGTGATTTGCCGTTTACTCAGCTAATATATTAGCAAGAAGGATACATCATGGCTGCTTCCGTGCAAAGGTGTCCATCGCTAGACTTAGGCCAATTTGCGTAATGCATTGTTCATCAGAGCAAGTACAGGGGATTCTCGCTCGTTAGTCATCTTCGCTGCCAAGTAGTTTTTAAGTATGCGCAATGTGTTATGCCATCGCTCACGTTCTGCTGATATAATTTGTAACAACTTGTATATGTTTCGAAAGAATTCATGGCTTAGCCTTCAACTGCACTACTAGAAATAAAGGTTTTTTCCACGCTGAGCCACTTGCGCTGCCAACGGAAAAGTCGCCACTTGCAAATAAGGGGCGATGGTAGCCTAATAGACTTGACGTCTTGCTTTAAGCCTAATACTGACTAGCTTTTTTGTAAGAAAAAGGCACTGCATCATGGTAGCCTGTGTGGAATATGATGAATTCATAATTGAATATTATACGTTTTGTAGTCATTTCGCCGTGCTGCTAGTGTTAGTGTCCAATTTACTCACACCGATTTGCCAGCTGATTACTGATTTTATACTACCTCCTCACTTTTATGACCGTTTACACTGTCCTTCTGCTTTACCAAGTTTGTATTAAAGCCTCTCATTGTCAAATAATTATAACATGCAATTGAAAGCAATCGAGACCAACAAAGGTACTGAATCCCACATTGCAGACCTTGTATTTGTATACACTTAGGGGCCTCCTATGATCTTCCTCATAGTATTCATATGTAATCCTCCAAATAGAATGTGATGTTTTTTCAATCTTTTTTCTTCTCATTCTAAAATCTCATTCCTCTTGAAATTATAGTCCGGGCCGTAACCCAAGGGGGAAAGGGGTCCCCTGGCTATGCCACTGTAAACTGCACTAAAGTTAATCCTTTGAATGGAACATTATTGTTTTAGTCATTAACTCTGAACGCCAAAGCAAAGTGTTAGAAGCTGCAGCCAAGCAAATTGCTTGAAGCTAGTTGTACAGAAGGTGCAGTATGATGAAAGGATATTTGCTGAAATTTTAGTAACAGTGACTTCACTTTTGCAAAACTCTGTTCGCAAAACCAGCTAGTTAACTTCAACTGATGAAGCAAAATATCTAAATTTGGACTCATTCGCCGACCGCTGATGTAAATTGTGAACCTTGGAGTCAAAGTATTCCTAGACCTTCTTAAGGCACGTCTTTTAATCATGTAAAACTGTTTGCTTCTCAGAAAAAACCTTGAAATAACCCTTGGACACTGGAGTATGGAATTTACTTCTCATATAAGTTATCTCAGATAATCATATAAACCAGTTACATGCTTGCAATCTAACATATCAAGAAATTTTAGTAGATTTTCCATCATAGATTTTCCGTATGCTAGTACTAAAATCTCGCTAACGAGCGCCACCAGATATAACATGAATCTTCTCTAATTGCTATAAAATGTAAATGGTCTCAAAAAGGGATATTTCTGTATCAGTTCTTCAACATCTGCCTTTTGTTCGCTGGTCCACACAACAGAATTCCTTGTTTTGGAAGACGTTTGGTACATTATAGCTGACACTGCATCGATATACTCTTTCTCGCAGTTTACTTCCAGAAAGCTGCATAGTTTCCTCAGGTTTTCACGCGGATGTGAAATAATTTCAGAGTTGTAGACATCTAAGATATCATAACTTCCGCTCTGGTGCAATCTTTGAACGGACTCTACTCTCTCGAAGTGGCTGGCAATGTATTGATCCAAAACCTCAGAGTTGTTAACCTTGTAGGAGACATAATGTAAAAGACGTAATTCTATTTATGGGGTTAAAATATTTTATTGATTTTTTACTTATTTATTTAGTTATTTACTTATCTATTCATTTACATATTTATATTCGGTTTAAAGTGACGCGATACGTTTGGTTAATTTGCGGGATTTCGTATGGATTTTACGCATATCTGCGGTATTTTCGATCGCAGTCCTTCAGTGATTCTATACAACATTACAGGGTGTTTCAAAAGTTCGTTCTGATTGTAAATTGTATTTTTCGAAAATTTTTTAATGTTTCTTTAGGCAAATGTAAACTTATTCAGGTAAGAAATTTATCTAAATAACCTTTCAAAGCAATTTTAAACTAAAATTTGAAGAAATTATAATATTTTTAAAGTTTTGCCCTAAATGTGCATGAACGCGAGTTTTTTTCCCGCCATATTTTCCCTGCCCATTTTGTACGTTTTTTATTTTCCTTGTTTTGCCTTTTTCTGTTATTTTCTGTACTCTTTCACGAAAATGAAGGCCTGCACTGTTTGTGCTAACTCTCAGGCATCTATTTTTTACGGTCTTCTGGCCATTCTGTCACAGAAATTGCTAAACTATTGAACAAGTCCGAACGATAGAAGTGAACAAGTGGTCAAAAGCAAGAGAGGGTCAAGGGGACAGAGAAGGCATCCCCCATACACACCCTATTCCATAAGTAATTCGTCTCGAGTTATTTTTAAGACCACAGATCCCAAGGGGGATTAGACAACAGCCAATCACATAGCGCGAATGTGTTCCTCGTGGATGACCCACGCTCAGAGCCACGCGTCCTTCACAAATTGACGCTGAAAAAAATGGCGGAAGACGCGGAGAGCGATATTGCTATTCGTTTTGTCGACGAAAACGACTAAAGAGAGAGATTTCTACTAAAGCGGTGTCAGCGAAATGGAAATTAAAAAAGAATCGCCCTTTCTCTCTCGATAGAGCTAACAGTACAGCAGGAAAATCCTTAACACACTGAATATTCTCTCAGAATCATTTATAATTTACAGTTTGAAGAGAGCAATTTCTGGTTTGATATTTATTCTTTTATTAGTCTTTTATTATTCAACATAAATAACACTTGGCGTCCTACTTGCTTTATTGTACAAACGAACGGTTTCAATAGACCGGCGAAATTTCTCATTTTATTAAAGCACTGAGGTTACGACAACTTTGAGTTAAACTGATTTCACGGGTTGTCAAAGAGTCCAGCGATTCCTTTTTCCCAGGTGAGCGCCGACTCATTTCGCTTCAATACTCAGAAATGCTCTCGATCTCTTAACGCTTTCATTGCCTTTCGCCCGACATGTTTTGCACGGCGTTTATTCATTCGAAACCTCCACGAAACGTCCACTCAGCGGGCGAGGTAATCCTAATTCTAAAAATAACTCGAGACGAATTACCTGTGGAATAGGGTGTGTATGGGGGATGCCTTCTCTGTCCCCTTTATCCTCTCTTGTCAAAAGTAAAGACTTTAGAAGACAAACCAAGAAGTGGATGGCCGTTTTTTTTTGTTTAAACGTGTAAGAAATGTTATCAAAAAAGCTGTAAGTATATCCGTAATAATTCTACAAGACAGAAAGGTAAAAAAAATTCAACTTCACACTTTCAAAGTTTCGAGCACAACGGTATGAAGATATATGACCAACTAAAAAAGCCTGGAAAGCCCTGAAGAGAAAAAGACGGCGCACATGCAGACATGGTGCCAGAAGGATTTGGAAACTTTATAGCAAAAGACGACCGGCCGGCAAACTCACGTGATGTGAGCCCCCTAGAAACCATCTGGATTATCTTTGACGAGACAACATACAAAGATCCAGCCCCCAAAACACTGGACGAGCTAAGACAGTGCCTTAAACGCTTCGCCTGGAAAAATGTGCCTTCAGACACGTTTTGGGAGCTCATACATTCTATACCTCACCACTTATAAAATGTCAGATAACGTAAAGGAAGGCATTCTGGCTACTTATATTTTAGTTAATTCAATGTTAAAATGAGTAATTAATAACATACTTGGTTTTACAAAAGGTATATTTTTAATAATCAGTGAAATTTAAGCGAAGAAAAAATCGGAACGAACTTTTGAAACACCCTGTAATCGACGGTATATTTAATTGGAAACGAGGCTGCTTGGGCAATATAGACACTTATTTGCCTTAATCAATTTAGCACGTACGTGTTCGCTATATTTACAGTTCTCCTGAAACGTAACACCTAAAATGGACAGCTCCGTGCATTGCGGAATGCATGTATTAACTAGCGCAATATCCTGAATAAAACGTTTCCTGCGAAAAATAATTTCTTTACATTTCGATGGATTACAAATCATACTGTTTTCCTTAGATCAAATTAAAAACTGATCCACCAAATCCCTACGACGGTGGCCATTACTCCAAACGGGAACAATGAGAGTAGTCATCCGCTTATTTAAGCAAAGCTGGGTGATTATCTATGCTGATTTCCAGATCATTAATAAAAATGCTAAATAAGTACGGACCACTCACACTGCCCTGTGTAGTGCCCCTGTTCACACATTTCCAATGTCCTTGAAAACTATTGTAAATAATGTACTGTTGACGATTCTCAAGAAAGCTTAAATACCAATTGATTATGAATGGATTTAACGGTATTATTGCTTTATAGTCCATTTTATATTCGTTAGGAAGAAATTTTGGGTGCCAATTATCATCAGCTAACGAAAGTAAAAATCGGTCAAAACTTACTTTAAAACTTTGATTACGAGCATTATCCCTGGCGTCCAGATTTTTCAGCACCTTGGTTGCAATGTTGTCAAAGGGATTTCTGATAACGTGAATGAACTATAGGGGAACTTTGATAACTTTTTCTATTTCGTCCAAAACTTGAAAGCCATGTCTCATCAGAAAGAAACTTGTTACATCGCCGTGTTTGTCTCCTATTACCTGAAAGCAAAAAGTTACGGATTATCTTATATCCTCGTTATACCAATTATCAAAGGAACGGCTGCTAAATTAGGCCGTTTTCTTGCAACTAGTATATATGATTGCTGTTTTAGGTCAATTTTGTTCCGGAGTCTTTACTTAGTTCCTTTATCAATACACAAAATACTCCTGTAGAATTGTAAAGAACATATCATACAAATTCAAATTCAATCAGGGAGCAGTAGCCATAATAATTATGGATCATTATACGTGCCCACCTACCCCTGCCCTAAGCCAACATTAACTCTTACTTCTCACTTAAGGCAACATGTAAGCTTAGGGCAAGGGTAGGTGGGCAGATTGCCAGAAACGTACCGATAATTTTTTGGTGATTTTTGCGGGCGTAGGATTAAAACTTGAAAACGTTGGCCAGAATTTTTCATGTTTCAATCAACGTCCATTGTCCATCCTTGCCATCCGTTTGCAACAAACGACAAGAAGCAATTTCAAATCCTAAATATAGTCTTGTATGATAAAACTGGACCAGTATTTTAATTTGCAATCCAGTAGTGATGCGAAGACAGGTTTAGCCTTTTCAAAAGATTAAAAAAAAAAAAAAAGAAAGCGTTACATAGCCCTATTCACTGTCAGATATGTTGCACGAGGCGACACCCTAGATAAAAGGTAAGAACTCGATTTACAAGACTGGCAACGCTTTCTACAAAAACGTTGCGAGACGTCTTAATTTCATGGTATGTTACTTCATACATGCTTTTTTTTCGTGTAACGTATTACAGTTCCAGGTAAGGGCTCTAAAAGTGCGCTCTTATAACGCCGCTTTGATCAGTAGCATAAGTCCGTGGGACACTGAGCTTGACTATTCTTACTATGACATTGTTTTCCGCAAGAGAGCAGGAAATGCCGGAAGTGCCTTCTCCCGTACAGCCATCTGATTTTATTTCGGTATTTCTTCCCTTCTTTATTTTATTCATTCGACTTTAAATGATTTATAACAACGGATTAAAGAACAACAACAAAAAAGAACTCAAAGGTTAAGCTCGTTCTGCGAGTTGCGTTAAACACAAATAACTATTTCTGTCATAAAACGTAGCAAAGTGATTGCTTTTGCGTATTACACTTTTGAATAGCTCTCAGTTTTGAATTCCTGTCCTCACTGCTACCTCAGCAATATTCACGGGACTCTCGAGTTAAAATCCTTTACCACGCTTGTAAATAGCCAACTGATTTGCTTCGGCCAGTTAGGATTCTTAACCCTGTTAAGCTTGATTTAAATTATTCGTTTCAGGCATTTGCTCGGCTCCACTAGCAAAGGATTAGTATGTGTAATCAAATAGTGACGAGTATTAGGATTTGGACAAAGCGCAAGTGAAATTATTCCCTAATTTCACGAGTATACCATTTGATTACCTATTAATATCATGGGTGACGAATTACGTTAGCAATCTTGGATTTTTGACATGTTTATCCTGGATCGTATCGATCGAGAACTCCATTCTCTCAAATGTTTAGACCTTAAATTTGGCTTATAAAGTTCACAATTTTTCAGACGTTTTTGGCAAAATACCTGTTAGAATCCTTCTTGGTGTTCTCTTGTGTGTTCAGGTTTTCTAAAGCGTCTTTTTGTGCCCTGACATCTTCGTTCACGGCATTTTAAAACTTCGTCGCCATCTTGACACGAAGACGTACAGAAGGGTTGCCATGGCAATTTTGTAATTTCACATGTGAAATTACAAATTAACGCTGAAATTTCGCGCCAAAATTAAGGAGTAATTCGTCACCTATGATATTATTTATAATTATTAATATTAGACAAAACCCAAAGTGCCGGGTTTTCTCAAAGAGAAAACTGTCCGTTAACAAAACTTAAGTTAATTCAATACCTTTATATTGTCTTTGAATGTTCCTTGCCACTGCCCAGCCACGTGATAGGCATATCCTGTCTGGGAAACACTACGAAATTGCGCTCTCTTGCCAAACATTGCACTTTCTCGCGAATTAGAGTGAAGGTCAAAGAACAATTTATTCTTCCCATTCCATGTATTGTTTTTGTAATAATTCCATTTGCGTAACACATCAAATTCGTTTGCTATAACAATCTTTGAATGAGCATCTAGAATGGCGGCAACCAGGCTGTGACCGCTACGGCCGTAACCAATGAAGAGGACAAACGTTTGAATGCCATCGTACAATTTTCTGATTCTTTTCTCAAAACTTAGAAAAGAACCGTTCACTGAATAACAAGAAAAATATCAGATCTTTTTTTGTTTCTAAGGAAATACTGGGAGGATCGTTGAGTATGGAGTAGCTTTAATGATAACAAACTCAGCTAGTTGATGAAATTGGTAAATAAATATGATTCTTTAGAAGGATCTGGTATCACTGTGCTGGTCGGCTACCACTATCGCCTAACTACCCTAACATGCACACCTATATTTACAAGCACTACCCTGAGCTAGAAAGAAACATTTCTCATTAATTGGAAAACGGATTAGGGACCCAAACAGAGAAGGAAAACTGAAAGAAAATTCCCTCCTCCCGCTAGCTAGCAAGTCAGAGTGCAAAATGAAAATACTATATCCTTTACTTTGCGAACGTGAATAGGTAGGTTAAGAAAAGGTTGACAAATTTGTCTTGGAAAATGCCTTATTCTCTGATTGAGAAGTTTTCCCTAACATTTTGGCCAAAGCATTGTCTAATAAGGAAACAAGAAGTCCGCTTCCGGTCGACCTGCGTCGCTCAAGACGTCTTTGCTTAAGCTCGCTGACGATAATGATGACGATGATGTTATTGAACGTTCAAAATTTTAACTAAATTAACCCGCACTGACTCACAACGCAAATTTCTACTTGCTTTGCTTTTGGCGACAAATTATTAAAAAGTAGCTTAATTGTCCTGTGATGAAATTTTAGTTTATATTCTTTAAATAGTACAGTGTACTTGGATGGTCGTGCAAATAAAGCTTGTTATTATTCATTCAAAATATTTCTCCGTTTGTGATTGACCAAAATCACACGCATAATTTATCATAACCTACTACTGTTGACCAAACTTGAAAGAATTTTGCCATATTGAACCGATAACGTCAAAAGTTCAGGAAAGTTGCACATTATTGAACCCTTAAGCGAGAAGACCTGGGGGCGAGTTTGAGTTCTTTTCGAAGTGAGTAATGGCGGAACTCTTTACTCGTTTCACGGCGAACTATTGTCTAAAAAACATGGCAAGAACAGCAAGAAGAAAACTCGACGGACGACCTCTGCTATTTGGAGTATATTTGCAGACCTGAACAGCCCTCTATCTCCTAAACCTCCCGATAAAGAAGCACTATCGATATGAACTTAACATCGATCGACGGAGGTAAGCAGTGTTTTAACTTGTTTTTAAACTTGGAATTATTTTGAATGAATAATAAAGCAGTTATTGAATTCGGCTTTCGTAGGATATGAATTTTGCAGAGCAAGGTCGAGGTGGAAAACACCCTTCTCGATCTGAAGAATTCTTCATATTCTACGAAAGCCGAATTTAATAACTGCTAATTGTTGCTGTTACGGCACGCTATCATCAAATGTTGCACTTACTGACCTTGCTTCTCATCAGTAGCACCGTCATAAAGAAAGTTTTCTTGATGTTCATCCGTCTTTGTATAATAGAGCAGAAGGAGTGACAGGACAAGTACGCCTGCTACGACCACAACGACAATTTGCAAAGGCGAACGCATGACACCACAGATATTAATGGTCGTCAGAGGGGTGGAAAATCTGCTGTGAAAAGAAAAATGGCAAATGTCCTGCGCTAATTCGAATAAATACGGTATATTGTCGATATGTACATTCCACGACAAATTCGTATCCACATAAACAGCACGAGATTTAGTAGATACAACTTGATGTATAGCGGCATTATCGATAAAGAGGGAAGGAGGTGTATTGAAAGTCTGCAACCTTTGCCTAGACCCGATTAACATGAATTCCGTTTTAGACTTAGTAAGAGTTAGATTATTAGCATTAAGCCTGCACTCATTAATTTTGGCCAGGTCCTCATTAGATGTTACTGGCAAAAGTCAAGGGTGTATCGTCTGCTTTCATCCTGTACTGAACATTTGTGATTATCGTTTATGTTTATAGTATAAAGAGAAGAGGACCGAGGATGGTGTCTTGTGGGATACCGCAAGTTAGATATTGATCGCCAGAGAGGGAACCGTTCACAATACATTTCTGTTTCCGAAGATTCAGATAGGACTTAAACCAGTTGTAAGAAGAATTTCTAACACCATAGCTATATAATTTAACTAAAATGATGGAATGGTAACGACTCCATTAACATTGCCTTTATCAATATTAAAAGCCCAGCTGTCAACAGTCTCTTAACAGGGCTGTGACAGTTGAGTGAAGCGATCGAAACCCTGACTGCTTACTGGAAATTAAATTATGTTCTGTTAAGTACATATAGAACTGATCATAGACGATTCTCTCAAAGACTTTCGCTAGGAGAGGAATTAAAGAGATCGGACGGTAGTTATTTAAGTCGGAGCTTTCTCCTTGCTTAAAGAGTGGAATGACTTTAGAACACTTTCATTCTTCAGGAAAAATACCTATTGTAATGGAAAGACTTAAAATACAACCAACAGAAGAGGTGATAAGTTCAGCGCACTCACGAAGAAGTAAAACACGTAGGCAATAGGCAATTTTACAGTTGTGTGCTCAGTGCCCTGGCCTTTGAATAGAAGCGAGACTTCATACGTAAATGATCATGTTCAAGGCCTTGTTAGCATGAGAATACCACGATTTGCTGATGAAAAGCAGGAAGGTTTGTAACAAAACAAGGTCACCGCCAGCCTCGCTTCTATTCAAAGGCCAGGGCACTGAGTACACAACTGTAAAATGGGCTATATCCTGTTCCAGGCGTTCAGATCCCCCCCCCCGTTTCCCTGGTATACAATTTAACTCGATCCCCACTGACCGCCGCGCTATACTATCTGAAGGCCTGGAACAGGCTAAATGGGCTATTACATTAACATTTTATCGAGTAGATAAAATAGTTAAGATATCACACAGACGCTACACAATAAATAGCATGACTAACAAGTAACTTTATAGAAAGTATACAAACCTAACAAATTAAGAGGCAAATAGGAATAATNAACACGTAGGCAATAGGCAATTTTACAGTTGTGTGCTCAGTGCCCTGGCCTTTGAATAGAAGCGAGACTTCATACGTAAATGATCATGTTCAAGGCCTTGTTAGCATGAGAATACCACGATTTGCTGATGAAAAGCAGGAAGGTTTGTAACAAAACAAGGTCACCGCCAGCCTCGCTTCTATTCAAAGGCCAGGGCACTGAGTACACAACTGTAAAATGGGCTATATCCTGTTCCAGGCGTTCAGATCCCCCCCCCCGTTTCCCTGGTATACAATTTAACTCGATCCCCACTGACCGCCGCGCTATACTATCTGAAGGCCTGGAACAGGCTAAATGGGCTATTACATTAACATTTTATCGAGTAGATAAAATAGTTAAGATATCACACAGACGCTACACAATAAATAGCATGACTAACAAGTAACTTTATAGAAAGTATACAAACCTAACAAATTAAGAGGCAAATAGGAATAATTAGCTATGTAAATTACGTCTAATAACGGAGTGATATTTTGTTAATCGTGAAAACCCTTTTGCTTTGCTCGGTATAATACTTCAGTTTAATGTCAACTCAGTTGAAGTAAGGTAAGACTACCTGTATAAAGATATTTTCTGCTTCATGATTTATTAAGCGTACCTAATTTATGACTATCTTTTTCTTCCTTCTTCAATTTTGTTTTTCCTTTTTTTCTATGACAACGTTGTTGCAATTAAGAGAACCGGGGGCTTAATGGATGATTTACAATATGTATAAAATTGTAATATTTAAATACCAAGATAAATTTTAATGAAATAACAAACAAATTATGTTACGTTATACCGATTTCCGGTTTTTTGAAAAACAGTTTTTTAAAACGCCCAAGAGAGAATTGCTCGTTGATGTTCTCATTTCAGTAAGAAAGCGTATGTACTTGATGATTCTAAATGGCCACATTTAGTTTTGCCATGAAAGGTACTTGAGATTTATTTTTGAGTAGTTTCGTTCAGTCCTGGTTTTTTGATCGTCTGTCTCAAGATCGCAATTTTGCTACTGATGGTGACGTTTCTGCCGCTTACAATACTTCTAGTGTTCATCATGCCACGGATAGTGTCGAATGTCGATTGAATTTACGGATGATCGTGCCTTTCAGAGATTGGTCCAACAACCGCGCCGCGACAAAAGATCATACCACACACAGCAATGGCAATTCTCGTGTTTCACGATCCCATAATGCCTCGTGTCTCGGGGGTTAATTTGAGTCAAAACTAACACCCAGAGAGCAGGACCTCGCAATTGAAAGTTTAAGTTTTTCAAAGGCGTTTCGAAAATGGGCAAAGTTAAGGTGAAAGAGATGTGTAAGACCTTAAGTGTGGACATAGAAAAATGGTTTGGAAAGAAAGCTCTTTCTTATTAATTCAAAGTGGACAGACTGCAAATTATAGTAGTTGCTACAAAATATACCTTATTTATTCGATTAACCGCCCTGGGCGCTTATTAAATTTTTGGACCTTCAGAGAGGGCGTTTATTCGAGGTGGGCGCTTATTCGAGGCTGGGCGATTCGTGTAATCGGGGCTGATAGTCCGCTTGTTCAGTCCAGTAATCTGGTGCTTAACGTTCAGTGACGAAAAAAAAATTCATATCTAGACCAAACAAATGATGATACCGAGTCCGGATGCAGTAGAAGTTTGAACACCGAAGAAACTATACGAAAGGAGACTAAGTTGCCACTGAGAAAATCATTAAGTCAATAGGTGATCAAAAGTCTTCGTGAATAATGAATCTGGAAGAAAATTATTGTAGGAATCAGAATCATCCAGGCAAAAACGGCAGGAATCATGAATATCAAGATTCAAATGATTTCTCTTCTACCCCCGAAATATTTAGATCTATTATTGACATTATTGGTCCGCGGATCTTAATGATTGTATTATTTAATATTGATCAGAAGTTAAGCATCTACAGCACACTCGAAAACTTACTTTAGCTCAATGGAACTCTCAGCATTTGGCTTTAACCTTCCTTTTCTGTTGTGTACCGATTAGCGCTTGAAGACCGTTTTAGCTTGCCTAGATACTGATATAG